ACCCGATTGTGCGGCTAGAAAAACGGTATGAGGACCAGATGCGACTCTCCATTTTGGTGGTGGAGGACTAGATGTGTGTGTGTTTTGGTCATCAATGGACTCCAGATGATGGGAAGCATGTTGCCGGTCATTGAGACGTTCACGCTATAATCCAAGTAACACGTTATGAGAAAGAAAATGGTGGCTAGCGGAAAGTGCCAACACGCAGGTCTCGAACCCAATCACATTCGAGCATTAGATGGTGCGCTCCATAATATTATCTACCACATCGCACCTTATTCGCTGTAGTCGCTCCGGGTTGAAGGAAACCACGTGGAGACGAGACATGAAGAAATGCACAAAGCCATTAGATAGAGTAGATGCAGCGCGCCTTCCAGGCTGGGGTCCGAAAAACTCCACAACTGGTTGGTTGGAGACATTGAAGGATATGGCAGCGAGCGGACAGCAGTGGTGTTCTTGTTGTCGTTTCTTATCAGGTCAGAATGCTTGAAAACGGTGTGTATGCAGAGTTCGATTGGGCACTCTCTCAGTGTGTTGACAATAATCGCTTTCCTTCTTCTCCCTACCTCAAAATAGATCCAATCCCTGTCCACCTTAAATTTGATCACTAACCTTGTACGTATTGCGAGTTTGGCAGCGATCAGTGAAGTTCGCTTCATTGTATTTCGCTGAACGACGATGGCGATGACGATGATGATTGCGAGACGTGTTCACCCTTTGCCATTTGACACAATATTTGAGGGATAAAAATGCAAGTGAACCGCAGCTGAAAATTCTATTAATCTAGTGACTAATCGAACTGTATATTTAAACACCTGGAGAGATATAAGAAGAAGAAATTTCTTTGCGTTTGCAATTTGTTCTCATGCCTCAATAGGAATATTTTACGAAATTTGACTCAACCATGTTTCCGGTTTAATGAATCATCCGGTACGACCAGCTGTGCCTTAGCTGTAGTGTGTACAGGTCGTAGTGCACCACACTTCGTGCGTATCGAGTCTGGTCCAGCTAAGCTATCTCGAACAAATTGCACACATTCACCGAGCCAGCAAAACGACATCCGTCAGTCAGCTCGACAACATGCACGAATGAGGTCTGTCTCATTCCAACACAGGAAGAGCGTGGGAAGATGGGTGGTTAATTCTGGGGATAGAAAAAAGTGTGATCAATTCACCAATGAGGTGCGCTGAACGGAATTCAAAACGGTAGCTTGTAGAATATAAAATTTTAAGTTTGATTTGCGAAATCGTCTTTTTGAATTGAGAAATCATCACTTTGAACTGAGAAACTGTCACTTTGAATTGAGAAAGAAACGCTGTGGTTGAATCCGATTCCGTTCAGCCCACCTCATTGGTCAATTGATCACACATTTTTTCTACCCCCGGATTGACCACCTGTCTTCCCACGCTCTTTCTGTGTTAAAATCAGGCAGACCTCAGTTGTGCATCTTGTCGAGCTCTGTGGGTCGGTGAAGTCATGCTATTGGCGTGTGACAACCAAGCTGGACGCCACTCGATAAGCACACTGTTTAATGAGCACTACAGCTAAAGTACAACGGTTCGTAGTTGCTCTAACATCGAGGATAGCTTAATAACCAAAGCTAATCACAGCAACCAGGGCTGAGTTTTGTGCTAACAGTATAATCCGAGCGATGTAATTTTCATTACGAGTATAATGGATCTATCGGAATAGCAATATTTGTTCAGTGACAGAGATTGGAGTTCTTGAGGTGAACTTGGGTGAATGGGCTGGCTGTCATCACTAACCTTGCGACCAAAACCAGTACACCTTAAGTGTAGCTCGCCCATTTCTAGCTCAGCTCACCGAACTGAAAGAAACATAACGCAGTCGATCTGTTGGGTAAAAAGGGTTGATCGTTTTCAGAAAAAAGTATTGTTGAGTAAGAAACATCGACAAATGACATTAAGATACAGTGGACATTTTTTTTCACAAGGTTGCGGTTAGCAAGCAGACTGAGCTTAAAATTAATGACCACTATGGGGACTCTAATAATAAACTATTTAATCTCCCGACAGAAATACAAGATAAGTCGACGGAAATGAACATCAGCATTTTTTATATTGGATTTGTTGATGAGGTCAGTGAGAGTCAGTTAGACTAGCTGATGAATTGTGTAATGTCCGCATCACTTCAATATCAGAGGAAGAAAATGGAAAGTCTCAGCCTAATACTCCATGATCCGTACTATTCAAGACTTCTGAGCTACATCTGCTGAATTGGATGCAAAACTATTTCACTGACTGATGCCAATTCACGTGTCTTAATGACATTAGGTCTTCCACTGTCAAATTGTTTTCACGTTGAAGAATACCGATGGTGTCATGGCTACTGGTGCGAGATTATGCATATCTGATGAGCGACAAACACCCATAAACCGGCTGTGTGCTTCCAGGGCAATTTTTTGCAGTCATTCTCATAATACTTCCTGTAACAGGTAAAATCAGACACACGAAGACTTGCGAGGTGATCTCACTCAGCACACTCTACCCGAACGTCCACTCGACTGCTCAGATCCAAGCACATATAAGAAAGGAATCAAGTAAAATGACATTTGTCTCAAGCAGATATCCGAATTGAACCCCGTAGTTTCCTAAATCAAGAGGGATTGACAGCCTGGTGTGATTAACCATTCGAAGAAGAACTGGGCTTCGAATGGAATGTGACGCACTGGAAATCACGGACTAGGGTCGGGTGTGGGGATAGAGAGAGAGAGAGAAAGAAAACGATTTTGGCGCACAATGAACTGAGAAAAGAGAAACGGGAAGAGAAGCATCTTACCGGAACTAGCATGCATCTTGAAATCAAGCCTTCTTCGTGGCATCTTTCGTAGGCCCGTTGTAACCGGGCTGGGGACTCTTGTTCACTGCAAGACCATTCATGCCGATGTTGTAGCATCCGATCGTCATAGACCAGTCCGGTTGATCTGAATGAAAGGGAGAGGGTATAAAATAGAAATGGGAATTTTAATTAAATTATTTAATTAAATCAATTTTAGTCCAACTAGACAGAAAAACCCGAGGTAAATTAATTAAACTTTAATAAAAGTAAACACTCCAAAGGTTTCTAATTGGTACCAATTTTAATAAAAAGGTGAATAATTTGGTTGCATCCAATTTTATCATCTTGTTTATTACGGAAAACATGCGTTAGTTACGGCCAGCAAAAAACCAACACTTTCTTCACATCCAAAGATTTTCATTGTAAAATAGGATCTGTTTTGTTCCTCTGCATGTGCAACTCATGTCACCCGATTGAAACATAAGGATCGGACCAATGTTGTCCCGGTGCTCAGGACATGACCAATTATGCACAACCACGTTCGAATTGACCTTGACCGACTGTAATTTGCGCACCTGATGTTGGTTTTCTTTCGCTATTTGATTAACATATACTTTGTTCATATATATGAGCAACAGTACAGTAAGCCACTGAAAACCCCTCGTTAGTCTCAGAGTTCTACTCCTGGGAAATATCCCCACAGAGTGCGTCATTCAGACGATCTGTTACAGAAGCCATACTGACTGCCCTCTCGTGGCGAGGGTGTTTTCCATCTGGTCATAGAGTCATACAGTTGGTTAACGAGCCATGGACTATTAGCTTATCTGGGTGAGCATTCGTGCTTATATGATCAATAAGTCACAGAGACCTTTCTTTTGGTTTGAGACCAGGACTGCAAGCGGGCTACCCAAAAATCTAGATTGAACGAAAAAGTAATCATGAGCATGTCGTTTATGACGTGAGGCTTTTGCCTTGAGAAGGTAATATTTCGTCCAGTTTGGTGACGTTGGTTGATGAAACAAATCGTATCCAAGCGTGTGTGCGATTGTGTAGGCCATTGCTCACTCAGTCAAATCAGCTTCGCAAGAACAGTACCCCAAGCCATTACTAATTGTTCATTGATAGGTCGCTTACTAAATAGAGTTTCTTTCTTTCCAATACCATCATGCTCGTCACCCCGTATGTGTCAGTGTCGCTTTCTACAATCATGGTTTATTTTATTTCGTTCAGAGTTTATGGATGTCTCCGCTAAACAATCCGTGTTGGAATTGCTGATTGCTGGTGCATTTTAACGATTCACATTCTGAGTGTTCTATTTGATACGAGTTAGATAACTTGTCACCTGATTCTCTCAGGTTCAAAATGTTAGCGTGTCCACGTTTCGAAGGATTTAATTTCTGAGATCGGATGGTGCACGATGGACGGTAGATGTCACACGCCAATGCGCGGTTGTCTGTCTGTTTCTTCACTTG